CCAAGTGAATGCAATGATTACTGTGTATTTAATGGCTGAATGAGACCATTAGATGGACACTGTTTGTAAACTACATAATTTATTTCAAAATATAATAAGTATTCATCTATGCTGTGCTCTTCCATCAAACTTAAGCAGTATTTCGTCAACATACATAGCATTCTTTTCATATTTTTCTAACTCAAATTCATTTTAGAAAATTTGAAAAACACAAAAAAGTAGTCTAAATAAACTAAAATTACCCATATTTTCATCACCAAGAAGCAAACAGTTAACTGTTTTATTTCATTATTTTAATTATCATCCTCACTCCTATTGCTAAGATAGGAGTCAACAGACAAGGGAGCCAAGAAAGACCTTGTATCAAAGACATCACATAACAGTAGAAAAAGAGTAGATTATTTAAGAGATGATTTATAAACATTCATTTTATGCCTATAATTAAGTTTCCTCTAAAAATATGTTTTGCTAGCATTATATAAAAGCATATGGTGTTTCTGAAGTTTTGTTCACTTTCATTCTTGCATTGGGAAATGGTTATGAGGATCAGTAATTTTATTTTAATTAATGAATAAACTGAGATGCAAAGTGATGGGTGTCTCTGCATATCTCTGGGGTTCTTAATATGAGTAGCAGAGATAGAACTGCAGCTTTTACACAGGAGGTGAATAAAAATGAGTAACAATTCAAGCATTTAATTCTAGACTTTTCTGGAAGAGCATAAATGAGCATGTGCTAAACCATATAAGATAACTGGGGCTCAGGTCAATTTATTTTAACAAGTAATAAGCACACATTGTTCCTATCTTCAAGGAGATAACAATCTAATGGAAGAAAGATAAGTATGATTCACAGCAGAATATAACTGACAAGATATAAAACACATGTAAAGTAAGAGATTTCTATCTCTGCCCACACAACAAAGAATTAGATCTGAGAAGTTAACGAAAAGGACAAAACGTAATCATATAAGATAATCAATGCAGAAAAAAGAACAAAGACCAGACTGGAGACAAAGAAGACAAACAGCAGGGTGGTATATTTAATTTAATCCCAACCACATCAGTAATTATATTAAATATAAATGGTCAAAGTAGGGGGAATATAAACAATTATGAGAAATGGTAAAAATTTCACAAGTGAGGTGGTATTCCCTAGAAGCCTTAAAGGATGGGACATGATTTTGGCAGGCAGAGATAAAAGGATATATGGGGAATGTTCTGAGGCAGCCTCAAAACATAAAAAGATGAAATTACAACATCTATTTTGCCAACAATAACTCATGCAAATGAACTAGAGTACAATTAAGATACAAAGGAGAAATTAGAGAATAAAATCAAAATTATGTTAGACCCATACTCGGAGTCCTTTGAATTCCAAAGAGAGGAATTTGTAATCAGTTTGGAGATTAGGGGAAAATTGCTGAAAGCGACAGAATCAGAGCAGGGCTTTAGGATGACTAGTCTGAAAGTGATCCATTCTATACTTGTAAGTAGATTAAATCAGAATGACACAAAGATGTTCTTTATTAAGAAAAATTTACATCTAATATTCCCTTTAAGGTACAACAGAAAAGAGTTAAAAGTAGATGAATTATGACATCAAGTCAGGTACATACTGGGATAGGGTACGCAAGGCAAGAACCAAGAACATTCATGTACAGAGAACTTTCTGTTTGGAAACATCTTAAAAGTTACATGTGGAACAGGACATGTGACCGGGAAATGAGGGTGAGACAGAAGTAACAGTGACAAATGTTATGAGCTACCAAACGTTAAAAAAAAATAAATGGGTTATATCAGGGCAAAATGTCCTAAGAAGGGCAAGGCATCCTCTTCAAAACAGAGTGTACAGTGGGTGGAGGGTACAGCAAGTCCTTCTATGTCCTCAGTATATCTGGAGTATTTCAATTATTTGGGGATAATTTCAGTAATTCTACACTTGTTCAAGACAAAATGTACTAAAATTCAAGCTGTAAAAACATCTCTCTCTATTCTACCTGATGTTTCCTGATCTGTAAATAGCAAAACTCAAACCCATTATGCCTTGAAGTAAGCTTCCTAAAGAGAACTTTGAGCCAAATAGTGTAGCTGTTAAAAGGTCCTGTTGTGAGCAAGAACAAGTCTCTGAGGGCAATATCAGAATGGCACATGTTTTCTATGAAGTAGATATCTATAGCAGGTGTTCATACATTCTGGAAATGAAAACTGCATCACTTGTTACTTAGATGGTAGGTTCTTAAAATAGCGGAATGGGTGGGTTAGTCATATTCTACACAAACTGCACTTCCACCCCTGCACATGCCTCTACAGGAAATTTTAAGTCACTGAAAATCATTTCAGCCATTCTGAATGACATCTGAAGGTTATCGTGACAAAATTATGTTCTAGAACTTGTGAATTCTAAACATAGAAAACTGTCCATTTTTTACTTTATAGGTAATGTTAAAAGAAACATAACTTTTTAAAAGATGAGCTCGTTTAAATCTAATAACATAGAATTATTTTGATATAGGAAAAAAGTAGGTATGAATGAATTCAGTGAAAATGAATACACCTGATCCTCCTTCAATATTTTCAAGAAAACTTTTCAAAGTTGCCATTTAGAAGAATTGCACTCTTTGTTTACAAGGCAACAGTGGGCCAGTTACTCAAAAGTTAACCTTAAACTGGCTATCTAGATTCAGATGTTTAAAGGAGATAAAAGAAATTAAAAACATCCACTTTCTGTCATAATTATGCATGGAAATTACATTATTTTAGAAGGTGACATTAGATGGACTGCATTCTCAAAGAACTGACAATAAGTATGAGTTTCTCATGTATAAAAGTTAAAAAAAAATAAACTCTTAATTCTCCCATTTAATTCCACAGTATTTGAATTGTCTTGGGTCTCATGCATAAATGAAAACATTAAGAAATACATATAATATGATTATCACAGATCTTGTCATGTAGCAGACAATAATCATTTGCAAATTACTATATATATATAATTATATACATAAAATGCAAAACAAGGATTATTTGCATATAGATTACTCCTGAACACATATCCAATATACTAGGAATGATTATCATACAAATACTGTATAGTAGTTACCCTTAAAGCAGAGAAAATGTTTTTTCATAGTAAAAGAGAAGAAACTAATACTCTGCTATCCACATCTCAAGTCTCTGGTCAAGTTTAATGGCTTTTAAAAGTCACTTTAGAAAACATTTTTTTGAAGCAATGTCACCAATAATACAGAACTACAGGGAAAATTACCCATAGATTATATCACTGCTTTTTCATTCCTGTGCCCTAGAACACTGTATGAGAACCAGAATCACCTGGAAAACTAGTAAACACTCAGATTCCTGGGCATTCCCCACAGTAAATTTGGGAGTGTGTGCCAAGAATCTGAATTTCTAACAAGTTTCTTTGTGATGATAATACTACTGGTCCACGAAGCACACTGGACACACTGGACTAGCATAGCTCTAGAAAAGATGTCAGCAAACTGTAGCCCAGCATTGAATTCAACCTGCTGCATGTTTTTGTAACACAAGTTTTATTGGCGCACAGCTATGCCCATTCATTTCCTGAACACACTGTCTGTGACTGCTTTTGCAGAGTAACAGCAGAATTGAGCAGTTGGATCAAACACCATATAGCCTATATCATAAAGCCTCCAAAACCTTAAATACTATTAGGCCTTTCACAGAAAACATTTGCTAACCCTCACCCTCAAATGCCACTCTCCTCCCTATTATCCAGAAACCTTTGACATTCAGAAATAAAATTTACCGATATCAAATATGAAGACATGTACTGAGACAAGAGTATTTCAAAGTTCATAAAATATTTATCATCTTCATCAATGTCTGTGACTAGTAGCAATGAGTTACTGACTTTCTTACTGCTATGATGAATGTCTCTTATATTCCACAATTAAAAGTCACAAACTTAACTCTCCTTTCTATAGACCTGCAGTTCCAGAGAAATGGTGCTAATAAAATCTATATAGTACAACAGAAAGTACACTTGAAACATTAAAATTTGTACTGATAAAATTTCTTATTTGAGAAAATATAGGCAATATAGGAAATTCTTAATTATCCTTGGTAATAAAGACAGGGAGTAGAAAGATAAGTTAAATCATTAATTTCCTCAATCATCTTCTGTATCATCACATTTTATCCTCTGCTTTACCTATTTCTGCATCACTGGATAGGTTAACAAATAATGATAAAGCAGCAGCAGCACTATGTTGACATCAGGCTTCTACAGAGTGGTGCTTGCTGGCCTTACACCTCTCAGCTATGTTTTGCTAGATTTAAACAAATTTTTGCAGGATATGTACTAGTCAATTCCTTCCTCTACCATTTCTTCATATCTTATGACAGGACATTTGTATAAGCTGCTGCACTCCTGGACACATTTGATTTGGAGGTCCCTGGTTTACATAATATTCAAAGTAAAAAAACTGGGTCATGTAAATAGATCACTTAAATGGTTAAGTATGATTAAAGGCTATTATGTATATTTATTATGTATACCTATATAAATAAAACTGTAGTTAATTGTATTAGTAAGGAACTAATGGGATCTTAGAGCAAAAGCCTCAGATTGCTATTCAAATGGGGCAATTTAATTTTGTGAAAGCCAATATAGTTTATTCATCCCCACTAAAAGTGTGAGACTAACAGACTTCCTTATTATTGATATAATACTGTCTCTAGAGGTTCAGGTTACTTTTACATCTACTGATAAATAAAACCCTTGTTTACTGGGCTATTACATGCACAGTTTTCCAATGAATTATGTATTTGATTTCTACTGAACCATTTGTCTTTGAATATTCAGAGAAAAATCCCAAACCAGTATTTTATAAATGCTTGCTAAATAAGCAAAACCACTACAATATTGTAAAGTGATTAGCCTTCAATTAAAATAAATTTATATTTAAAAAAATGATAGCTAATAAATTAACAGAAGGAAATTCTGCCAGCTAATACCTGTTGCACGATTGTTGTTAATTCCAAGCAGAGCTGTATGACATTATTCCTTGTAACTGAATAGTCTGTGACAGCAGCAAATGGTGATCTATAAAGGGAAAAGGAAAATTGTGATTAATCGGAACAGCTTTCTAAAGGTCCCCAAATACAACAGCGTAAAATAGGGTTTTGAGTAATGTGAAAGGAATTGTTCTTAAGTTTACATAGTGATAAAAATATTCAGAACATACTTAAGGAAAAAAATTTAAGATAAATGCTTGGAAGATAATTAAATACAAGAAACAATGCTTGCTTTCCAACTACTCTCTCTTTTTTTCAGTTCTTAATACTTAAAAGTTCTCTGGTACTCACAAAGTCTTCACTACATCTAAAATAAAATAAAAAATGGCATACTTAAGCAAAGACATTTTAGGTTATTTTCAAATGAAGCTAACCTTGTTGAGTCCAGTATCTTCTACAAATAGTCACAATCTAGAGCTTAGTCTCATGACAGCTATCACTTACTGAGGACTTACTATGTGCCAGTTACTCTTCTAACTGCTTTACATGTACCAAATAATTTTCACAACTCTTATAGGCACTATAACTGTTGTTTGCTTAGTCACTAAGTCATGTTCAACTCTGTGGGACCCCATGGACTGTAGCCCACTGGGCTCCTCTGTTCATGGGATTTCCCAGGCAAGAATACTGGAGTGGGTTGCCATTTCCTTTTCCAAGACACTATTATTTACTCATTTTACATTGTCTCATTTTATTGTCTCACTTTACATATGAGACACTTGAGGTACAGCAAGCTTAAGTGAAAACTAGTAAGTGGTGGAGCTAGTAATTCAAACAGAGGAAGGCTGACTCCCAGATTCCATACCCCAGAGTTAAACACTAATATACCAACTGCTGTGAGTTTAAGTAGCTTTTCACTTGTACTAAACTAATGCCTTATGTCACTTCACATCCTTTTTCAAACAATTTGGCATACAAATAATATGTATTTGTACAAGGTTTATATTTTCAAGAATGTTACAGACAGCAGCAGTCTTCCCAAGCAAGGGTTTTGCCACCAAATGATTTCACAGTGGCTCAGCTGGTAAATAATCTGCCTGCAATGTGGGAGACCTGGGTTCAATCCCTGGGTTGGGAAGATCCTCTGGAGAAGGGAAAGGCTACCCACTCCAGTATTCTGGCCTGGAGAAGTCCATGGACTTTAGAGTCCATGGGATTGCAAAGAGTCGGACACAACTGAGTGACTTTTACTTCCATTATTCTTTATCCTCTTGTCTATGAATGCCAATTAGGTTTTTATGGGACCAGAGATTATACGGGAAGCCCAGTTTAAAGAAAACAAGATCACAAAAAGAAAAGATACGGGGGTAAAAATCGAGTCAGATGCCTAGAACTTCAGCGCTTCGGGTAACTCTTAAGGCAATTTATATGAAACTGCTTCCTGGTTACAATCTGAATGTCTCTCTTATAGAAAAACTCTAGAACTCAAGCACCTCTCATTGCCATAGGGGTCCATATGAGAGGCTCTTTATTAGTTATAGTTTAAAAATCATATTTTTCACTTACCTATTTTGGCCATTCTAATAGCTATAGAGGGGCATATCACAGATTTAATTGGTATTTTCCCAAAGTTATATGTATTTTCCCTATGTATTTATTATCTATATTTAAGCGCTATCTAATTTCCCTGATAATTTTCCAACTGGTTTAGGTAGTCTATGTTTTTGAAGGAATTGATTCACATCATCGAAGCTGTCAAATGTATTTATAAAGAGTTATTTGTAGTATTCCTTTGTTATCCTTTTAATTTTGATTGACTTCTCAACATACTGTGTTTCCATTTTCATTCATTTAGTTCTGTGATCATTTTTATTTGCTCCCTTCTGCTGCTTTGGGCTTATTTTCTATTTTAATTCTTTTAAGCATACTTAACATGAGATCTAACCTCTTAAAAATTTAACTGTAAAACACAGTGTGGGGAAATTAAGAAGATGGTGCTAGTCAGTCTCTCTCACCCCATTGCTCCATGTTCTGTAAACAATGGCTATGCACAGTTATGTAACAGCTGAGATCACCTATAGCACTGCACACATATGTCACAAGGTACTCACTTGGTCAACAGGCTACCTTGTATAGTACGCCTGTTTGAGCTTCACCATGAGAGTCCTGGCTACTGCAGCATTGGGGCTACACGGGAGTGACACCATGATTATGTTGCATGAAGTTATCTTATGGCTACATTGTGGCTACATTACGGTTATCTTATGGCTGTTGCTATGGCTACTGTGTCAGGCAGGAAAGAGGCTGTGTTATGGCTGTCAGGCCAGCCAGGAGAGAATAAACGCAACTGCAGTTCCTAGGGCTAGTCTCTTAGTTTATACCTAATCTACCCTAAGTTCAGTGAACACTACAAACAGTGTGAACAGCAAGTCAACTGGCGGCACAAACAAGATCAGCTACAGAGAGTATTGTTAACTGTAAGTACAATGTTCTACACCAGGTATCCAGAAATTTTTCATCTTGCTTAACTGAAACCTTATGCCCATGCTTGTTGATTTTTCTATTTTCTTGAGAAGAGAGCTTAGATAGTGATTTGAGATCTTTTTTCTCATATAAGCAGTTTTTACAAATTTCCCTTTCAGAACTGCTTTAGCTGTGTCCCATAAATATTGCATTATTATATTGTCATATATAAAAATTGTATTATTATAATTGTATTATAAAATGTATATTATATTGTCACCCTGCTTATTTAACTTTATATGCAGAGCATATCATGAGAAATGCTACAAGCTGGAATCAAGATTGCCGGGAGAAATAATAACCTCAGATATGCAGATGACACCACCCTTATGGCAGAAAGTGAGGAAGAACTAAAGAGCCTCTTGATGAAAGTGAAAGAGGAGAGTGAAAAAGTGGGCTTAAAACTCAACATTCAGAAAACTAAGTTCATGGCATCTGGTCCCATCACTTCATGGCAAATAGATGGGGAAACAGTGGAAACAGTGACAGACTTTATTTTGGGGGGCTCCAAAATCACTGCAGATAGTGATTACAGCCATGAAATTAAAAGGTGCTTGCTCCTTGGAAGAAAAGTTATGACCAACCTAACAGCACATTAAAAAGCAGAGACATTACTTTACCAACAAAGGTCTGTTTAGTCAAAGCTGTGGTTTTTCCAGTAGTCATATATGGATGTGAGAACTGGACTATAAGGAAAGCTGAGCACCGAAGAATTGATGCTTTGGACCTGTGGTGTTGGAGAAGACTCTTGAGAGTCCCTTGGACTGCGAGGAGATCTAACCAATCCACCCTAAAGGAAATCAGTCCTGAATATTCATTGGAAGGACTGATGCTGAAGCTGAAACTCCAATACTTTGGCCAACTGATGCGAAGAAGTGACTCACTGGAAAAGACCCTGATGCTGGGAAAGATTGAAGGAGGGAGGAGAAGGGGACGACGGAGGATGAGATGGTTGGATGGCATCACCGACTCAATGGACATGAATTTGAGTAAACTCTGGGAGTTGGTGATGGAGAGGGAGGCCTGGTGTTCTGCAGTCCATGGGGTGGCAAAGAGTTGGACACAACTGAGTGACTGAACTGAACTGACAAAAATTGTGACTTATCCTAATTTTCATTCTGTTCAATGTATTTCTTTTTTATTTCCCTTGAGATTTCCTCCTTTTATCCATAGATTACTTAGAAGTGCATTGTTTGATTTCTAATTTGACTGCATTATGGTTAAAGAAGACATTCTGATTTAAATTATTTTAAATGTATTGAAGTTTGTTTTATGACACAGTTGTGGTGTACCTCCCTGAATGTTCCATGGACACTTGAAAAGAATCTGTATTATACATTTGTTGGATGAAATGCTCTAAAAATGTCAATTATATCTTGTTACCTGGTGGTGTTCAGCTCTTCTAATGGATGAAGTATCCAATTGTAATTGTGGATTTATCTATTTCTTCTTTTAGTTCTGACAGTTTTTGCTTCAGGTACTTTGAAATTGTTGCCTGATATTATACAACTTAGCAGTTTGTTTCTTCCTCTTCTTTTTAATGTGGACTATTTTTAATGTCTCAATTTGTTACAATATATCTTCTGTTTTATGCTTTGATTTTTTGGCCCCAAGACATGTGGGAATCTTAGCTCTCTGACCAGGGATAGAACCCACACCCCCTGCATTGGAAGGCAAAGCCTTAACCACTGGACTGTCAAGGAAATCCCTGTTTCTTCTTGTTTTTAATTGTTTACTATAGGCTCACCTATTGTACTTTGCTGTTTTATTTTTTAATTTAAATGTAATATTCACATAGTACACATTAACCCTATACTTTTCATAACTGTTTGCTACAAGTATTTTTCCAGTTTGTCATCTATCTTAGTCATATTTTTCAATATTATATAGTCAAACAGTGTATTTCTTTGCATTTTATTGCATATTTTAAAAAAATAAGTACACATCTAGAAATCATTTTGTCTATATTTTTTTCCAGTTTCCTTACGACATACTAATGCTTCTCGCTTAAATAAATAATATACCTAAAATTACTTCAGTGAACAGGTAGTGCTCCATCATAATTTATTTTAGAAAGGCTTAATCAAGTGCCCCAATTCCATTTATTTAATGACCCTTTCTTTTTCCAGTGAAAGTGAAGTCACTCAGTCGTGTCCAACTCTTTGTGACTTCATGGACTATACAGTCCACGGAATTCTCCAGGCCAGAATACTGGAGTGGGTAGCCTTTCCTTTCTCCAGGGGATCTTCCCAACCCAGAGATCAAGGTTTCCCACATGGCAGGTGGATTCTTTACCAGCTGAGCCACAGAGGAAGCCCTCTTTTTCCAGTAGTTTTAACATACTGTTTTCTAAATGATTCTATATACCACAGTCTATTTTGTGCTGTGTTCCACTACTGCTTATTACTATTTCAAAACAGTATATTTTTCCAACAAAATTTACTAAAACATAAGGAGTCATTAAGAATTCAAATAATGTTAGAGGAAAATGTATGCAATTAATTAATCTGTGTTCTCTATTAAAAAAATTAATCTCTTTAACTGTAAGAAGGATCCAGTTTTAAA